CCTGTGTCTTATTCTAACTTTGATTACAGCTCTTTCCGTGTCCCATTAATATGTGCTTCCCGTACATCACATAGTGCTTAGATATAGTGGGTGCTCATTCATTCATTTCAAAGCAACGTTCCTTGTACTCTACATTCTAGGCCTGGGCTACGTTCTGAGTAGTTATCCAATAGCAAGCTTAAATGCCTGGGAGGATATCAGTATTTTCATCATTTGCCAATTATGTGGGAGGAATCACAACACATACTCCACAAAGAAAGTGTTACATAGTGTTCTCCTAGTGGTTGATGGCTTTCAGTGGGACCCATATGGATCGTGGTATCCACAGCAAATGTTACTCATCCCTGTGCATGGTGGCATAAGGAATGATCTGTGGAATTACAAGCAGAATTTTGTAGTCAGGTGGCTGCAGACGGTGCGGTGCTCAGTGAGGTCGTCATCTAGGGAGAGAGAAAGGGCCACCTGTTTTATCTATGTGCTGGTGAAGACTTTCCAAATGTAGAAAGTGTTACTCTGATACTGCTTCTCAATCAGCCGGGGTGCGTGGGGCATGAAGGATTCTTCAGGAGATACTAAGTACTGCAGAAACGAGAGTGAGCGCTCTGAAGTCAGATGAAGCAAGTGGGACAGGGATAGGAGGTAAGGTCAAAGAAAGACCAGGGAGTCAGTGTGTGTGGACAGAACCAGCTGAAACCAGGGGTACAATGAACGGTTTCACTTAAATCACTGAATGTTCTGGAGCAGGGGCGGCAGGGGAGGGATGGAAACAGGGAGATCGCTGTCATCGGAGAAAGAGGTGGCTTGAAATAGGATCTGGCAGTGGAGGGGTTAGATCCGAGGTTATTTTTTGGAGGTAGAGACATCAGGATTTGGTGGTGGGTTGAATGGAGTTTCAGGGCCAGGGAGAACATGAGGGCATCTTCTAAGTGTTTGGTCTGAGCTGTTGAGTGGATGCTGATGCCATTTACGGAAACAGGAAAGACTAGAGGGAAACAGATTGTGAAAGAAAACAGAGTCCTCTTGGAATTCACGTTAAATTCGAGATGTGGGTCAGACATTTGCGTAGGCAGTGTGGAGCAGACAGGAGCGGTAAGGACCAGAGACAGAGTTTACTTCAGTCCACGGATGGTCTAAGAAGGCACCATGCAATAAGGAATGTTACATATGTCTTGCTATCCACCACCAACATGCAAAGCCATGCTGTTGTGTCCCAGCGCTGCCGCTTAGCAGTCATGTGCCCTTGGGCACATTTCTTCACCCCTTTACATTCACAAAATAAGAATAAGCACACATATCTCCTAGGGCAATTGTGGAAATTAAAAGGGATAATGTATATAATGTCGAGTGCAGTGCCTGGCCAGCTGGAAGCACTATATCAATAGTTGCTATTAGTGGGCTTCCCTGGTGGCGCAATGGTTAAGAATCTGTCTGCCAATGCAGGGGACACAGGTTCAAGCCCTGGTCCGGGAAGATCCCGCGTGCCGTGGAGCAACTAAGCCCGTGTGCCATAACCACTGAGCCTGCGCTCTAGGGCCCATGAGCCACAACTACTGAGCCCACGTGCCACAACTACTGAAGCCCGTGTGCCTAGAGCCCATGCTCTGCAACGAGAAGCCACCACAATGAGAAGCCCATGCACCCCAACGAAGAGTAGCCCCTGCTCGCCGCAACTACAGAAAAGCCCAAGTGCAGCAACGAAGACCCAACGAAGCCAAAAATAAACAAATAAAATAAATTTATTTTTTAAAAATAGTTGCTATTAGTAGTATTAATGCAAATCAGTTATCTATGAGTAAGATCAGCTGTCCTGAAATATCGTGCTTAAGGAAATTCCGTATTCAAACAAAATGGACTCAACTCTGCAGATAGGCAAGAGGAATTCGCGACTCTCCTCCCCCTTCCCCAGGGAATGTCAAAGATCTGACTTTATTTCAAGGTAGAGTAGGTTAAGAGGCCAGACACTTGCATAAAAACTTCCCTTTTTTCTCTTTTTCCCTCCACATAATTGCAGCAGAATACCTCTGCTGTCCTCATATTGTATTGCATACAGCCTTTCAAGGTCCTGGCTAAGGAGCCAGACTACTTGGTACCTAAAAGTTAAGCAAAATAAGATGTTTGAAAGCCAGAGAGGCTGATCTCGGCTCCAGAAAGTACAAGATGGACAGAAATATTTGGGATTTGATGTGGAGACGCTCATCACATCTGAAATCTGAGATGAGACCCCCCGTCCCTGAAAAAAGACTTCATGAACCAGGAGAAGAGGTCAGAACTGGCTCCTTGGAGGAGGCTGGAGATATCCAGCCTGTGCCAGATGGGGGTCCTGTTTCCCCCAGGCTCTCCCCTTCCTCGGGCTCTGTCAGCCAGACCTGCAATCATCTGTTATTTCTGTTATTTATTTCTTTAATTGCTTCAATTAGGAAATGTGCTAAAAAGTCCAGAGAATAATAAACAAAAACCCTCCGTCCAGATATTTGCATCATAAATTATTCAACAGTAGAAGAAATGAAACATAAAATGGAAGTCCCTTCACTCCATTCTCCTTCTCTCCTGACGAAATCATGATCTAAAAATTGTGCACATCTGATCAAACCATGTTTTGATCTTTGGACTATCCATACATAGCTCCACAAGCCAAACATATTTTTGTTTTGTGTATATTAAAGCACTTACATATATGTTTTCATGGTCATATGAATCTTTTTGTAATTTGCTTTTCTCATTCAACATTAGGTTGATAAATATGTTTTGTTCATTGATTATAATTGCTGGGCATCTAATTTCACAATTAGACACAATTTCTATATAGATGTGTAGGTAGGTTCTTTTTTCACTCACTGTCTCAAACAATGCTGGCTTGACCACCCTGGGCATGACCAGCACACCTGCCGGCATCTCCCCAGGGCACTCTGACAGCAGACTTGCAGCGTAGAGGAGCCTGCCTCTCTTTGACGTTAGCAGGTAGTACCTGACTGCTTTCCTAATGGGTTCCTTAATTTACATCACCGCCAGTGATTATGAAAATTCTTGCACCTCCACAGTCTACAACTATGAGTTTTTTACTAGCGTGCTGAGTGGGAAAGGTATCTCGTTGTTTTCATTTTATTTCTCTGATTGGTGGGATGCACCCTTTTCCAGATCCCCATTCATCAAAGTCTCCCTGGCTGGGTTTTTATTGCCTGTAGCCAAATGTCATTCCTAAGGAACGGAGGCATTTTTGACCAGCGTTAACTGACTTCCCAGGAAACCCCTGAAGCTCAAGTGGGAGAGGGGGAGTCTCAAAGGACAAACATCATCAGCTTGACGATTTCACCCAGGGATCTAAGGAATCTTCTAAGTTAATTTAATACCCCATTGTCCAAGATCAAACCTAACAAAACTATATTCTCCAAAGTTGGATCTGTTCTACTTCTGACACGTGTCTCCCCCCCCACTGCTTACCTCCGTGCGGCATGCTTGAGGAACTCTCTGAGCTCGGGCATCTTGCCCAAAACTTCTAAAGAGTCAGTCTGGACTTAAAAGAAACCTCTATGCAGCCCAATCCTGCGAATATTTATCAAGTGTCAACTATGTACAATTCACTGGTTTTTCCATCCAATACGACGTATTCCTTTCAAGGGCCAATTAACAAAGTGATTAAAGAGAGGAACAGATGTATCCCTGCCCACCTTTCTCTTTTGAGAAGCCTCAAGAAGTGGCAGTGTCTTCTCAGTTCCCCAGCCAGAGTTGACCTTCAAGCCCCACCAACTGAGTCACCAGGAGAGGTCCCAGACCGTGCAGCCTTCTGTCCCAAACACCTGGCTGTATCCTTGCCCGGGATCACCCTCAGGTGCCATCCTACCTCTGTCTGCACATCATCAGGAGAGCTCCCGCCGTTGACTTCGACCGCATTTGGACGTTAAAAAAACACAGATGGCCCTGTGGCTCCAGGCTCATTGCAGCATATTTCTCTGATAAGTGATTCTCATTATGGGCTCGTCAGACAATTGAGGAAACGAGAGGCGGCCCCATCCTTGTGCCTGTCAGATCTGGTTAATAAAAAATGGAAACAAAAAACTAAAGAGAGGAAAATTGCTAAGCTAAGAGAGGTCTTGGGACCAGGAGGCAGGAGGTAGAAGGAAGGAGCACTTCCAGGCAGTTAGTTAGGATGGCTCCAGGCCAAACTGGCCCTGCCTGCTCCAGGGAAGTTCTGTCTCTACTCAGGGCCCAAGGCCCCCCAAACCCAGGAGGAGGAGCAGATACGAGCTTCCCATCTTTTGTTCCCCTTGACGTGATGCTCTGCCTTAGTGAACTTCCTCCGGTGAGCTCTGTCCTTGAGCCTTGGGACACTGCACGTACTACTGCACTGCTTTTGCTTTGGCTCTCATAGCTCATTGGGCTTCTCCATCTACCAGGGGACCCAATACAATCTAGAGTTTAGGAACATAGGCTGAAGACAGACCACGCAGGTTCAATCCCAGGTCCGCCCCCTATTAGCCATTGCCTTGCACTGATGGCCTGACCCCTCCCGAGCTCAGTGTGCAAGCAAGTGAAACAAAAAACAGCAGTAGCACTTGTTCTGCATGGCTCCCGTGAGGTTGCGATGAGATGCTGCACCCAGAGCCCTTTGCACGACGCCTGACTCCACACAAGCTCTCAAGCAATGTCGGCTCCATTAGGTCACAGCCGTGGTGGAGCCAGTTCCTTGCCACGGGCTCACTGTTTAACCATCATGGTTGAGCAGTAATCTCCACGAGAGCAGAGACACTGCTCAGAGTATGCCAACACCTCACCCACGAAGATGCTTAACAAACTGGTCTTGAACGTGTAAGTACATTGAGGAAAACCGGCCCTGAGAACCGCAGGCAACCTCACGTCGGGAAGATGGAGAAACAAGTAACCAGTGATTCTCAGAGGATGACATGGTGGGGACAGGGGTCATATATAGTTTAAAAAAACATATTAAAAATCACAAAAGAAACTAATACCAAAATAGCTCTAAAATTCCAAAATGATTTTCACTTACATTAGTTAATTTAATAACCCCACCATCAAAGGGACTTAGTTATTATCACCATTAAAGTTTTATAGGAGAAACCTGTGATCGTCAGCGAGGTTAAGTAACTTTCCCAGGATCGCAGAGCTATTCCCTTAGCAGAGGTGGGACGTAAACTCGGTCCTTTGAACTTCAAACTTGTGCTGTCTTTCCATTAAAAGGCCTGTTTACAGTTGGAAGAGCAAGGGCCACGCGTGGGCTAGGGATGCATCTTGTTGCCATTTGAAAAAAAAGCCACACAGATATTAAAGTAAACTACTTCCCTTTTGGTCTTTCCTTTCATATTAGGCGGAGTTCAAAGTAAACCAGTTCTTGTAATCCTCCGATGATTTCTCGCCCTTGTGTATTGATCTGAGAAGTCTCTGGAGTACTTTGCTTCCCAAGGGTTCATCAATAAATGAAGAGGCTTTACCATCATCAGGTCACAAACAGAACAGGGAGTGCAGGGAAACTGGCAGACAAAGGAGAGAATGTGTAGAGGACTGGGGGGCACTGGGTACACCTTTATCCCGACGGCCCCTGAAGAATTCCCAGCCAGTGACCCTGTTCCTTCTTCCCTCCTTCACACCTTTATGGGGTGTAACCACATGAAACGATGCTTCTTCGCTGTGGCAGAAGGAGTCTCAGTCCCATGGATGGGGGGCACCAGGGCCTGAAGGTCCTGTCTGGGAGGTCCCTGCTTTGGGGAGCCCAGCACTGTCAGCTCCCAAGTCCATTGCTGAGCCCCGCTGGCCCCTAGACTTGGCTGCCTTCCCTCTCATACCGCTGTTCACTATTTCCCCAGTCCCCTCCTGCCCCCTCCGCTCTTTCCAGGTTGGTGGCAGAGCAGCAGGCCCCCACCCAACTTCCTGTCCCCTGCTGCATCCAAGGGCAGGGTCCCGGGCCCTCTGGTCCACAGGGTCTCACTTCCCAATGAGGAGGGGAGGGTGTGAGGTGAGAAGAGACCAGTGAGGGAAAGGATGAGCGCTCCAGAAGGTCGAACCCCGTGGCCTTGCTCTGGGGTGCTGACGCTGCTGGACGACAACTCCCTACCCTCTTCCTGTTAAATGTCTTGTTCTAGGCCTTCAGGCAAAATTGGGGCTCATTCATAAGGAAGGACCAGGAGCCCCAAACTCTACCACGTGCCAAGTGCTGTGCTGAGTGCCAAAACCAAGATTCACAGGATCCTCAGAAAGATGCAAAACCAGCTCTTCCTGTGCCCATTTTATGGATGAAAGGAAGAAGATGAGAGGCACACAGACGGCACAGCTAGTGGGTGGTGGTTGGCACTCAAATCCCAGCCAGCTGGGACCCCGTCTCTTTCCAAGTGTCCATCTAATGCCCTCTTGTCCCACAGCTGGGACCCCGTCACTAGGTGGCCACTTTTCTTGAGGGCAGGTGTGGGGGCTCTTTCCCCACACTGGTACGCAGCATCCCATGCCTTTGTGTTGGAGCCTGGCTGAGGGGCTGTAGGGCACGAGAAGCCCAGCAGGACCCCGAGCTGTTAGTAGACTTGACTGCTTTGCTGTCTGCTCTTCAGAGCAGCTGGCTGTTAGGGAGCAGTGCTTAGACGAGGCTGCAGTTGGTAACGTGGGCTAGTTGGTTTGCATTTGTTTTTAGACCTCGTTTCCCCGATGTTGGTAATTAGCACTTGGAAGTGTGTCTGTGCTGATGGAATTGCCCGCCCGTAACGTTCCCTGGCTTCTCCAAGCAAGAAAGGGCTTCACCCACCCTTCCTGAGCCTGTGCATGTGAGGAAATAGGAATAATAAAGTGTAAGTCAATCTAGGGTGGACCTGAGATGAACTGGACTTTCACCTACTGGCAAATGCTTCATGCAACTTACTTCTGGCTTGATGGTGTGCCCCATGAAGCCACTCGGCACAAGTTCTGGGTTCCAGTGCAGGCTCAGCCTCTTCCTAACGCTGTGCCCTTGGCGTGAGGCCTAACTTTTCTGAGTTCTAGTTTCCTCATCTGTAAAATGGCAATAATTACAGATTAGAGATAATAGATGCAAAACACCTGACACAGAGTAGGCTCTCATTATTACTATTATTATTTTATCCTGGTGTCATAGTCATGGTTCTCCAGAGAATCCAAACCAACGGGATGGATATAGATATACATACACACACACACACGATTTATTCTAAGAAACTGGCTCATGGGATTATAAAAGCTGAGAAGCCCCAAGATCTGCATTCAGCAAACTGAAGACCCAGAAAAGCTGATGATGTAATTTCAGTCTGAAGGCCAGTAAGCTCGGGCTCCAAGAAGAGCCAAGGTCTTTTCTGGCCTCCAGACGTTCAGTTCAAGTCTGAAGGCCAGGGAAGACTAATGTCCCAGGTCAAGCAGTCAGGCAGGAGGAGTTTCCTCTTCCTTGCTGGAGGAGGCTCAGTCTTTTTGTTCTATTCAGGCCTTCAACTGATTGGATGTGGTCCACCCACATGAGGGAGGGCAATCTGCTTTACTCAGTTCACCGATTCAGATGCTAATCTCATCGAAAAACACCCACCCAGAAACTCCCAGAATAGCATTTGAACAAATATTTGGGTATCTTGTTGCCCAGTCAAACTAATACAAAACCAACCACTGCACTTGGTACAGCCCAGTTACTTAGCAGTGAGCCCAGACAGGAGAAGCTGAGGACTGGCTTTCAGGCCCATGCTCTTGAAGGACAGCTGCTGAGAAGAGACAGAGGTAGCCTCAGCTGGGAGAGGCAGGTGACGCCAGAGGCCCAGAGGAGGCACTGGGCACCACTGGGACCAGAAGAAGGCAGCCTGTCAATGAAGAGACTCGGGTGCTGGCTGTTGGGAGTGAAAGCACACCCAGGAAGCCAATGTGCCGGGAATAGTTGAGGGCTCTGACCTAAGGGGATATGAGCATGAGAGCACTGAGTGTATCTGCTGCAGAGGCGCAGACCAGGAAGGCTCCTTGGAGGAGGTGACGTTGAAAGATGAGGAGGAGCAGAGGTGAGTCTAACAGGCAGAGGAAGCCAGGCATGTAAAAGCCAGCAGGTGGAGAGGACTGGGTTCTCCAGAAACTGAAAGAGTCGTGGAGAGTGGTGGATTGCGAAGGGGTCTTGGTAAAGTCTGCTTTCGCCTTCTTGTTTTATAAAAGGGAGGGGGAAAGGAAGAGGGAGGCTCAGAGACACTGAGTAACTTGCCCAGGTTCACACAGCCAGCAAGGTCACAGACCTCAGTGCTGACTGCATGAGCAGTGGGGGGGCGGGGGAGGGTGCGGGAGGCAGGTAAGACCATGCTGTCTGAGGGGTGTTGGGGGACTAGAAAGGCAACTCAGGGAGGTCAGCAGACCCTGATCCCCGTTCCTGCCACTCCTGACCCAGGGAGCCTCGGGTGCTTGCTGTGGTTCTTAGAGCAGAAAAGCCTCTCAAGTACAGGGATGTAACTGAACAGACACAGTTATAAATAAAGTGACAGATACCATAGCAACAGGGAAAGCAAAATGAAATACATCATCTTATTGTAAAGGGCAAAATCTATGCTATATATACAACAAGCCAGCATCTCCTTCCTCTTTCTAGCTCTTTCCTACACAAACATTTCAGACTTCACAGGCAACAGGGCCTGTCTGCTCAACTGAAGCAATTCTGATACAGGATTTATACATATCTTTGTACACATCTACTTGTGTGCCCAAGTGTTTAGTTATATAAAGTACATCCAGCTCTGTACATAGAGATACACATTAGATTGTAGATATACATATTATATACCTGCAAAATACTAGGGCATAAGGATATAGGTTCTGTGGCAGATTATATCTTCCAAAGACAGCAACAACAATATCTCACATCCCGCATGTCTGTCTACAATGAGACCTTGGCACTCTTCTCCTCGAGGTCTATGCCCCCTCCCTTTGAATCAGGAAGGACTTATTACTACTTCACCCAGTAGAGTGTAGTGAAAGTAAAGCTGTGTGACTTCTGTGGATAAGTGAGAAAAGGCCAGGCAGCTGTCACCAGTTTTTCTTGGGCCACTGGTTCTAGGGGAGGCCAGTCCCCCTGTAAAAAGTTCAATTACCCTGAGGCCACCATGCTGGAGAGACCATGAACTGACGTTTCAATCAAGAGTCTCCACTGAGCCCAGCCTTCCAGCCACACATATCGAGATGCCAGACGTGTGAGTGAAGCTATTTTGTATGCTCCAAATCAGTGTGTCCACCAGCCAAGTACCAAGAATGACCCCAGGTGATGCTATAGAAAACAAATAATCTGCCAAGTCCTGCCCAAAGTTGGGACCCAATGGATTTGTGAGACATAATAAAATGGTTATCATTGAACCCACTGAGTCTGGGGGTAGTTACTTACATCACACTAGAAAAGTGGAACATGTGCCCACATAAATGTCACAACAGCCACCATCCACCAAGTGTCCAGCATGTGCCATGCCCTGTGCTGAGCCTTGACACTGATCATCTCATTTAATCCTCAAGTCAACACCATAAGGTAAGAATCACAGTCTCCAGTTTCCAGGTGAGGAAACTGAGGCAGGGAAGGTTCATAACTTGTCCTAGGTCTCAAGCAGGAGGCGAGAACGAGAGCCAGGTCTCCTGGGTGCAGAGTCCCCACCTCTAACCATGAGGCTAGACTGCCTCACTGCCGAGATTTGACTGGCGCATCCTTTTAGCTTTTTCTTGTGCAGACTCACTCATTTTTATTTTTATTTTTTCAGAAAAATGGGATTCTATTATGCATACTCTTGTGTAACCTGCCATTTTCAGTTAACATATTTCCGAGTCAATACATACAGATCTCTATTATCATTATAAATGGCCATGGCCCACTGAGCCAGATGGGTTTACTCTCATGCATTTAACCAGTCCTCCTGGGGATGGACAGTTAGGTTGTTTAATATATATTTTTTAAAAACCATTACAAATAACGTTTTAGAGAACTGCTTCGCACATGTATCTTTTTGCTCTGGTATAATTATTTTCCTAGAACAAATTCCTATACATCAATAGATTGAGCTCTGCAAAGGTAGTATTTAAATTTCTACAATAGTGTATATGAGCTCCAGTTTATCCAAGCCATTGACAACATGGGGGTTTCTCCATTGCTGTTAATTTCTATCATCAGCACCCTTTCAATGCTGGTTGAAAAGTCCTGTGGAAGTTGGTTAGAGGGCTCATCCTTCCCTCTTTGCATGTCACATTTCAGGAAAGACCTTAGAATGGAGTGGTTAAACGTATGAGCTACATGTCAGACTGAGCTAGGGCTGAATCCCAGCTCCACCACCTTTTCTTATGACCCTGGACAAGTCATTTGACATTTCTGAGCCAGTTTACTTATCTGTAAAATGGGGAAAGAAATAGAACGTCCTCATGGTATTTGTGTAAAGATTTGATAGGATGGTGTAAATAAAGCATAGGGACTTACAGCTCACACGAAGCTAAATTAGCCCATAATATTATATTGTGTCCAAGGAAGGCCTCTCAACCTATCAAAGCACAGAGTTTCTGAAGCTTTAGGAAAAGAAAAGGAGCTGGGTGTGGAAAGCGGGTGGATCAAGCAGCATCCCGAGTTTCACTTTTCCTGATGTCCTTCCATAATTTCTGACACTATCCGTCATACTCAATAGGCTGCTTTTGGGGTCAAAGCCAGCAGTAACTCATACCATCACATCGGTTTATAATAGTTCGCAAATTAGAAAATTACAAAACTATATGAGATTCATTATGGAAAAGTAGGGATTTCAGAATGGATATTAGCTGTGTGAGCATGCCTGGGCTTCCTGATCCATCTCCCTTTGAACTGAACTTGACTGTCCCCAATGGCAGGGCAGCACTTGCCCTGGCAAGTTCTTCCCACAGACATGCGGGATGTCCGGGGCCTCCTCCCAGGCTCTCCAGTTAGATTAGTCTCTCTTCCTCTCTTGGGTAGGAAAACTGAGGAGCTGAAGGACAGTTGGGAGTAGAAGCTTGGGGTGAGAGGGAAAAGCGCCCCCTCTGCCACACGCTGGGGCCTCTGGTTCTCTCCACCCGTTGGGATGGTCAGCCAGGGTGCAACTCTGACTTCCAGAGGAGCTCCAGGAAACGCCGCCCTCACTTTTATAGGTCCCCCCCGAAAGCCTTCCCTCCTCTTCTTTCTCCTGGGACGCGTGGCAGCCTTTTAACTTTTGCCAAAGACTCCACAATGCAGTTCCCTGAATCTAGGTTAAGCACTCTCTATTCTTCACTCTGGATCTCCAATGACACCCAGTGCTTGTCCAATGGAGACACCCAAAGGTCCTGCATTGGGATTAAATGGCCACACAAGGATCCTCCGAGGAAGGTAACGCAGCCTGCCTGGGCTTCCTCTGTGTGGCCTTTTACTAGAACGGTGATAGTTTCTCAAAGACCTCCAAGTTAATCCAAACCTGAGGATCTTCTTAGATGCATCTCACCATCTGAAGAGTCTAAATAGATACCACGGTGCCAATCTTTCTCAACAACCCCCTGACGACCAGTTGTGAACCCCCTCCCCAGCTACTAGTTATCCTTGGGGAAACGATGTTCTCAGGGCCCAGTTCCTAATCCACACCACTGTCATCTGCCACTGTCATCAAAGACAAGCAGAATCTCAGAGGCATCTCAGGACAGCAGAGAGGCACTTGGTTTCTGGATGCCAGCTACTCTAAGCCAGTGGTCCAGATTCCTCACGTGTAAGTGAAGAACTCTCCCATCAGGAGGTTACTTTTGGTGCTGTGTTAATATCTCCCATTCACACACTTCCTGTCTCAGAAGGTGGCAGTTGAACTATTCTCTTTGTAAAGTTGAGACTTTGCAGTAGTAACCTTGTGTTATACTTTTTTTTTTTTTTTTTTGGGGGTCCCCCCCTCAGACTCTCCCCTTCCTCATGCTGCATTCAGACCCTCCTTCAGTCCATGCTCCCGGCAGTTCTGGGGTGATCCTGGCTCCTCCTGCCATGATGTGTGTGCTCTGTCCAGTGCCACAGGCCTGAGCTTTGGTGG